GCGTTCCCTCCCGTAAATCGCTTCTTCGACTGCACGCCATATTGACGAGCGCATTTATACGCGGGACGCTTTATTTTAGAGGGAAACTGTCGACGGGATTACGTGAAAATGCGGACTTTTCGGCGAGCAGCCGAACACTGCTGCTTAAATCTTTCAGATTACCTGATGTTTTATTTATTCGTGGAACAAAGACGGTGAACAGATAAATTTGAAACAAATGCAGGGTGTCACCTCTAATGCGACGCACGTTTCTTTCACTCACTTGCAGCAATCTGACGAAAAAAGGTTGAGACAAAAGTTGCAGGGTATGGAATGTACAATACATATCAGTAAAAAAAATTTCGAAAACTGTTTTCATGTAGAAGTCAAGGTCACCTTGGTATTTACGAATAGAAACATATTTATTATTTTTACCATATGGTAGAGGACATCGGGATAAGTTCAAAACATATATTACATGATATTTTTATTAACATATTACTCGATTTACTGTAGTGGAAATGTGAAATATTTAGCTTTCCGTGGCATTTGACCTGATGTTGTAAACATTGTTTATCTTCATATATTTTTATTTTTTCTATTGTTTTACATGATCTGTCGACTGGTTTGCTTATCTTCTAAATATTTTACCAAACATCTCATGCTTTGATTTCAGATTGGAACAACATACTGGTAACTCTTTTATAAACTTTTATTCTAGTAAAATAGAAGATATGATTACTAGAACATTTGTATGTAGTGTTCATTAAACTTGAACAATTTTAAGATTGCTATTTCAATGAAAGAAAGAACAGTCGAGGTCCGAGTAATTTACGCGGGTACATTGTAATCGACCAGCAAGTTCATTGGAATTTCCCAATTCGAAACGGCTGAAAAAGCCCGTCTCCTCCCGGTTTTTAATTAAATAACAACATAATTCACCGTCTTATGTTCAAACAATTAAATAACGGTTAGGATTCAGCGTCGGCTGCCGTTGCTTTCCCATTATTTCGCTGTTGCCGCCAGGCTTCAACCCTCCCCCAATTCTTACGCCTTTCACTTTCAATTTTCGTCGCTGTTCCTCCTTCGACTGCTTCTTTCTACGCTCCTCCGAGAAAACTTCCCCACCCTATTGTTTTTACGATTTTAATAAGACTCTTTCATTTCTCTATCAATAATATCCCCAAGATTTTTCTTTCTTTCGTTCAGCTTTGAAGTTTCACTCTGGCAAAATAAGTTACCGCCAGCTGGTATTTCAGCGTTTAGTTTAACGCGAACGGAACTTTTCTTTTGGTCGTCTACGACTCTTTATTCGAAGAAAGAAAGGAATTTCCTACGGAAAACTCATTGGGCATTTTGATGATTCTTACTGAATGTTAAATTGATGGGTTGGTTATGTTATTAATTATGATGTTAATTACTTTAAAATACCGTATATGGTAAATCATGTGAATTAAATTATGTATATATATATTCGATATTTATGAGTATATGAGAACGTTGTTTAAAACCTATAAAATCGTTTAACGGGACAAGTAAGAAATTTAAAATAACACGATGAAATTACACTCATTTTTTGGAAAATTGAAAAATTATATTTTTATAAATGGCGTACAATACTTTTTTAAATCGTACTTAAAAATTGAAAGTATAATTTTTATTTTGAAAAGAGTATTCAGTTAGAGTAAAAGATTTTAATTTTTAAATATAAATATGGTTGTTTACTATATTTAAAATTTACTCTCTATAATCAATAAAATAATTTCTAGATTAAAAAATGAAATAAAAATTCTATTTAAATAAAACTTCATTTCAAGTCTACACTGATAATAAGCATACCGTTTCGAATTCATACAAATGCCAAGAATTTTTCATTTCTAAAACTTTGCTGTTACGACCAACCATGGCTACAGCCGAGCGTACCAAGTAGTATAGACCGTTATGGTCAGACACAACAAATTATATCCGCTCGGGCGTCAGCCAAACGAAGAAGTTTTAGAAAGTAAGAATCTACTATTATAAAGGTAATAACAATATACTAATCCATAATACTAACGTTACTTTAAATACATGACAAAAAGGAAACAAAAGAAAGTGAACAAAATACAGAATACATACCTACACCAATATTCCCCATTAAATGCAACCAAAAAATATCGCTAATACAATGTAAAAATTCCAACTCGCTTCAACTTTTATTATACCGTCAGTGTGATCCGACATCTTCGATATTGTATCTTCTTCTGTACCTGTTAGAGATTCAAAACCACTGGCAGCGGCGATTTCCAGATGATACTTTAATTTCTAGAATACAACACGACAACCTATCTAAACCGTTTTAAATTTTTATGCATCCTTGCACCGGCTGGGAGTGTTTTATTATTTGTACTCGTGACTTTATGTTTATTACTTCCGGAAGAATAGGCTATGGCTTCTCGTCAAGACATCTAACATGACCCAGGAAGTTTCGAACGATTAGCTAAGACTCTTTTTACCTGACAAATCCGTTTAGTTCAATCGCCAAGAGAAAAATTACTCACTTCCAAGAGTTCCGGAAGTCGCCGAAGACCTGCCTTTTCTCTACCACGACAAGACCTTTCCAGAAACTAGCAGTCAGTTAGCAACGAGGCTCCACAAGATTAGAAGCATTTCTAATTTGCGTTTATACAATTTTCGGTATATTAGTTTTAGCGATTAAGTTCACCACACAAGCAAACTCCAAGAATCAGCTATCTATACAGTCCACTGTAATTGTAATAAATAATTATGTTATTTGGAATTTATACTACCATTGTTTACTTTACCATTTATTCTCTAATACAGCAATAAAATTGCTTTTTATCTATAAAGAAAGATCAGTTTCTCTGTTTCCGTGTATTGAAAGCCGCGCTGCGCGCATCGAAACATCCAGCTTCACGTGTAACGCATTTCTCACAGTCGGTCCGAGTGGCAGCTGTTAACGCGTAAACGTCAACCGTGCGCCAGCCTCGATTACATTCGTTTCACCCGTCATTGGTCAAACCCGTGAACTTGTAACGTAACCGAATTAATCAGTTTCAATCTATACCCGTGTATAAATTAGATCCGGGCGTAACGCGAGGGGTTCGTTACGCGCAGCAACTGCGTGCTCGCGTTGCATTTATCGGGACGATCGCTTGTCCGTTGTCGCCGTCGCGCTCGCTCGGCCGTGCGTCCTCCATAGTAAATAGTAAACAAATTAATCGTCGCTGCCGGACCGCAAATCGGGCATCGTGATTGTTCGCGAAGCCATCTGTAGATTTATCGTGAACCAGCGATTTTACGGAGGCAGACACGCGTTATCGATTCACGGCGACACGTGGCCGGGAAACGCGAGGGAAATCAATCGTAAACCCGGGAACTGTTTGTTCCGGCGTGACGATGTAATCGAGGCAATGCTATCGACCCCCACTCGGTCGATTCGTGTTTCACCTTCCGTCTCGGTAAAAGAATACGATTAATTGATGCTCTCGCTCTTTCATACGCAAAGCGTTCGTTGCAGAGGTATTTCATTGACCTCGTTGACTGCCACGAAAAACAGAGCTTTATGTATCGCTTATTCTTTTGTAGGAAAGATAGAAAGGAACAGTTACTAATTATTTATCGCTATTCTTACGTTACACTGTCACAGTGGGCATTGGACAATTGCAACATCGTGGAACTCTTCATAATTATAACGTCGTCATCCTCACCATATTCCCATCACATTCCTTTTAACACACCGTAGTGCTCGACGACCGTTCACAGTTAACAAAGAGAGGACCAGACAGACAAATGTGTTTTTTAATGAAACCCTATGCATGTTGTAGTACATATTTAGAAATGAAAAGTCCTCATAGATTTTTTGACAATGGTCCTCCGTTTTCGAAGAAAATGAGTTTTAAGTTTGTACGTTGTTGTAATAAGACGATTTGAAAAAGCCTACTGTAAAGAAGAATCGTAGTAACAGTGGCATTTTCCGGCTATAACGCTAGAAATTGTGAGTTCCAAACCTCCATGCTTGGAATTCTTTTTTCCCTCCGTGTGTCTTTGTTTTTCTTTGAATTATAATCTCTAAATAATTTGTATTATATTATTGTAATATTATTTATCTTCTTACCATAGCAACATGCAAACTGGAAACCCATTTTTTCCGAAAACGAAAGACCATTGTCAAAAAAGCCACGAGGGTTTTTCATTTCTAGATATGTACCACAACATGCGTAGGGTTTCATTCAGAAACAGATTTTTACGTCTGACTCTCTCCGTGTGAGTGATGTAACATGGTCCGACTATTGTCGAACTCGACGATTTCAACGTATCTCTTTTCTATTCGCAGTCCTTCTCTATACCCGAAACTGCAATCGCTTATTACACAAATAATTATAATCGTATTTGGGATCATTTTAATTAAAAGAACATGACAAACATGTTGATGAAAGTTTCATTCATCGAAAATTGGACATAAAGAAGTTTGATTTTTGAGTTAAAACTCTCAAGCCATCGCGAGAATGTTGCCGAGCGCTTCGACTTTCAGTCATTCCTTTCCCTTCACTCGCGTTGTCCTTTTCTACGTCCGCTATGCTAAAATCTACGTTTCTTGAGTTGGATTCGATTTTAGCTCTTCATAATTGCATCCTTCTGGTCCCCCTGAGTATTTTAATCATCGAATGCTCACTGTATCTAGTTATTTACGCTATCAAACATTTTCATTCGATGTCGGTTATCTGAGAAATTATAATTGTTTTCAAGTAGTCCACGTGTAACCCGTTGCCATGCGATTTAGCTGGACAAAATCCAAGCTAAGCTAGGAAAATGGTAGAGAAATGGGACGGAAAGATGCTTGCAGTTTCGTTCATGACATTCACGTTTGGTCCAAAATTGTCATCACGAGCCTCGCCCGTGACATTCATGTTTGGTCCGAAATTGTCATCACGAGTGAGACTCGTCGAGGTATAGCAAGGGCTTAGTGCGTAACTCGAGCTAAATCGTCTAAATTTCAAATGTTTTTTTCTCTTTTTCAGGGAAATCGCACACGATGCTCGGCACGCCGGAGGCGGGACACACTTTGGGGGCGATACCGTGCGCGATCGCTTGGCTCTTCCGAGGAATCTCCGAGCAACGGCAGAGGACAGGTGCCAGATTTAGCGTCAGGGTCAGTTGCGTGGAATTAACTGCCGGCCAACAGCAACTCAGGGACCTTCTCGCAGCGCACGCCAACGGTGAGTAAATATGTCCAGTACTGACGGAAACGCTGGCCTCGCGAATAAAAGGACAGGGAAAGCTGGTGATGAAAGGCTTCATCCTCGAGCCCGATGTTTTTCTTCCTTTTTTGTGATAGGCTCCTTTGCTTGTGCTTTATCGTAGGGATCGCAGTTATTTTCATATGGAAGCTTTTTAGTACTTCTAATCGACTTTTTAGTACTTTTAAGTAACTTATAATCTGTCTGTTGCACGGTAATATTAACTATTTGAACTCGAATGATATCTATAAAATGTCATTTGAAAAACAGTATCATTTTCGCGACATTACCAGGTCATCAATAGAAGTCAATCTTTGTGAAATAATTTACAAAATAAAATAATTACAAATTTTTATTTTGTTTGTACACTTTATTGTGTTGTAAATATACCAGATTTTTCAGGGAACTCTTTTTTTTATATTCAAATAAGCGGTTTAATCCAATGTACTGAAGATGAATTTTGATATTTTCTTCAGTTACATCAAGTTCCATGTCAATTAAATAACAGAACTAACACGTTGACAATTTTTTGTACGAATTGTAAATTCGTATAAAATACAAATATCATCAAATATTTGAGTACAATTTAACAAATTTAAATTCATTTTATATTTCCTCTTTACTTTTTCATATACAATCGGTTCTGCCTCTGGTTACAGGCCATCGTATATAGTTTAATGCATATGCAAACTCGAGAATACTTGTGGCCGGTCAATAACGTTGAAACTGATTAACAATGTGCTAAAACTTCAAGTGTAATTCTAAAAGTTGCCGCGACTTTCTGTTATCAAAAAAAAGAATATGAATTGTAAAATCTCATTATTTTCATTGGAAGAAAAATATTGAGAAGAAATATATATACAATAAAATAAATACAATTTAAAAAACATCAGAAATGGAACCCGGTTAAAATTTTAAATATAACAAGTTTACACTCATTAAATTTTATTCTCATTAAGACAAATTTATTTTACTTCGCTACTTTATATAACCTTTAAATTATTTAACTTTATTTGTTACATTTACCAAATTGCAGATAAAATTTTAACAAATTCCTATCTTGAAGAATATACAAATTTAGCTTTCAAACATTATCTGTAAGATTGCGAAAAAAATAATGATAGATTGCAGCGACTGAAAGGCACGTCACAGTGTTTTAATGCTCTCGAACAATGTAGCAAGGCACGAGCCACCGGAAACGGAGTTACAAATTGCGCGCAATATTTGTACTGTAATCTCCGCGGCGCCGAAGTTTTCTCGTTTGAACGCCCGATCGCGATAGCATTGTGTTCCCGCGCGTCGAAGAAACTTCAGTCGTAAGAAACACTTGTCTCGAGCGTCATCCCCCGGTTTTAAGAGTTCCGACCCCCTCGACGCACCCTTTCCCCCCTCTTCGGCCCGCGAGTCCTCGGATGATTCTTAAATCCACTCCAATCTTAGCATCTTAGATATATTTGTGAGGGGGTTGAAAGTTTCTCTGTGCCGTGATAGGGTTGATTGTTCACCGCAATTAATTCGATGCCCCGAACAATGTGGGTGGGCACAATCGTTTTGGATTAATTAATGCCGGTCGGAGGGAGCCACGTAACGGAATTGTGTCGTCCTGCGGCGGAAGCCTCGATAAACTGACCGTGGAAACTCGGTCTAATTTTCTCTACCTGTTCGTTCCCGCGTCTCTTGGCTGCATCGTCGACCGACGCAATTTACATTTATACGGACCGCGACCGGAAAATCGACGAGAGATTCGATTGGTTCTTATGGGTTGGTTAGGGTGAGACCGGGATTGCCGGGCTGCGCTTCTGTGCCAATCTTTCGGGTTAACGAAAAGCTCAGATCCACTTAGGAAAGAATGTTCCATGAATAATAATTTATTTATTGCGTACACTATTTTATTGTAAATGGATGTAATTTCTTTTTGTCAACCCTTTGCACTCGAGAATATTTTTCTCCATAAATATTCAATATTTTTTGACGAAATATCAATGATATTTTTTACAGCTAACATAAAGAAATATCTTGCATAAATTAAGGAGCAGTACTATTTTATTTCGATGTTATAGCAGTTGATACGTTATATCAAAATTTAATATTAAATTTTATATTTTACAATTTTGTTGGATCAAATCAAATTGCGACTGTAAAGAGCTTCTCGAGTACAAAGGGTTAATAAGCTGTTTCTAGGGTAGGTTTATTTACATAGTAACATATGAGCCACTCATCAGTGAAAACGATTAATTCCATAAAATAAACAGAGAATATTGACGCAATAATATATATTGACTTTCACGTTTCTGATTAAATGAAAAATTAAAGAAATATTATAAAATGTATTTTTTTATTATTACAAATATAGCTTTAATTTAACAAACATGTAAAATACATAAAATATCTTCGGTCATCTTTATCATGATTGCAATTTTTATATGGCTGGAAGAATATTTATCGTTTCATGCTACTAAACCTAATAATACTTATAATAATTAATAGGAAGTTTATTTTAAATATAAAAGGTTAAGAGTTAGTCAAGCACTACGATAAACAAATTTTTTAAAACTCAAAAAGTAGAACTAATCGATTTGGCCAATGAGCAGCTAATATTACTTATTCTGAAACTTTGTTGAAATACAAATATAATTTTTCAGAATACATTACTATCCGTAGTAGAATTTTCTGTAATTGCTAAACTATTGTAAGTTACAACATTCGCATCTTTAACTTTCCTATTACTTCATCATTTTGCAATATTGTTCAAATTCTTTTCTCTATACTCGTTTACATATTATTTTTATGTAAATTCTTTTACATCAAGGGTGTAGTACAGACATTAAGAAATTTGTTCAAAAACGTGAACAATGAAATTGTTTTCGCAACCAAAAGGTCAAGTATTTTTCTCGAAATAGTTAAATAAAGCGGAAGAGAATAGGGGAGCTAAGACGCAGAGGCGAAGTTTGCGCTCCGCCCCGCGTCAGCGTCGAGAAAATTGCATCGACAAGGGAGGCGTGTCCCCTTGCAACCGAGTAATGCGGGGATTTTAAACGCTACCCAGAATAAAACCAAAAGTCAGCGTCCGAGGGGGAGTTACATTCGAAAATCGTATGTTCCATTTGTTTTATACTCGTCCTCTTTCGAAGGCAGACGAGCTTCAGCGTCATTGGATCGGCAAGAATGGCTCGTAATAACATCGGGAATATCATCGTTCGAAAGCCCGGAAGAATGAAATCGTGTCTCCCTCCAAGTTTTCGTAGAGTCGTCGTCCGATTCGCATCCTATGAAGAATTCCGCGAGTAATACGCAGGGAACGGCACGGGAATCGTCCTCGGCCGTCATTTGATTTCGTCTTCACGGGCCAGCTCGTCCACTCGGTGGTCCGTAAAATTGAGGGGGTAAGATTATTTCTCTTCGCCCCTTTTTTGTCCCCGTAGTCCACGGACTTTCGTCTTGGTCTCCATTTGTTTTCTCCGATTGTTTCCCATTAGTCGAGGAAAACTAGATGGACTAATAAGAAATGGCAGACTCTCCGAAATGGTGCACTTACGGGAACTCTTCGAGAAGGGATCAAGCGTAAAGGACGATCCCTAGAAATTAACCTTGTTGAACCTTTAGTCGGAACATATTTCCCTATCGGTGTCTCGGGAATAATTATTTTATGAATCGTACACATTGTTATTCCGGGAACCGACCGAGGCTATCGTGGTTGTGTATCTGCAACAGGCAAGGCTCTTTATGAGTTCTTGCGTTTTTTAATGCCGGATCGAGTCTGTTATTGGGTACTTAGAGGGTCGTTGAAATTATCAGGGAGTTAGGTCTACCTGCGGTAAAGCTCGAACTTTCAAATTAAAAAGTTACGGTGCTATGCCGGCGTATGCATTAGGAAACGATTCACGGTGGTACAATGTAACCGGAGTTATCGCGATTGCACCGTGGGAACGATAAATGCGGGAGGGGTCATAATCTCAAAGGGTTTAGAATCGTTGTAAATTTCGCGGCTGACATTAACGGAGAGGTCGCGTGCCACGCTGGAACGCGGTGCACTAAAGCGTCGGCGTCGAACGAAACGGGACTCTTTCCGAGAACGCCGCCGACCGGCCTACCCTATAAACTGAATCCAATTTTTTTTTCTTCCTTTCCGTATTTTGCATACCTTTAACGATGCTTTTGATTTATGCGCCGCGGAGGCGGCGCGCCCCGGAGAGCGTCCCTTAGACGACTACATACCTTTTCAAACTATTACAAATTTAATTCTTGAAGGGCCGCAAAGCATAAAGATAAAGTAACGCGAAAGACCAGTAGTGTCCAGCGGACTTGCACATGAAAAATAGTTAGAAATAGAAAGTATTTATACATTATTTAATTTAGATTTGTTTGATGCTTTTATTGTTTCTTTAATGCTCCGCGAACGGCAATTCTAATCTGACCTGCGGTGGACTTTCGTATAGACGAAAATGTCTGAATAGATCCAATGAACTTTCGAGAGATAAAGTTAGAATCTTACAGGGTGAAATCCTGTACCTAAATTTTAATATCCCTTAGATTGACAAAGGAGTAGAAAATGTGTCGTTCATGTTTGAGACTAACATGTCGCATGGTAATATATTTATGCTGTAGCGTAATGAATCGATATTTAGAAACAGCACTTTGCTTTTAAAGTAATAAGCTTAGTGTTTTGTTTTAGCAATTAAGTTCATTTTCTTCAAAGCAATTTTTTCAGCACGTAGATGCCACATTTAAAGTAAAACTATAAATCCTTATTTTTTATTATTTAAATTAACTAATTTTTAACTTTAATGAATACTTAAGAATACAAACTATTCATAAAGATTTAGCCGTTGTTTCTCGGTGGCATTTTAAACAGCTCAACTGTTCTAGTTATCCCGTTCCGGGATAAAAATATCGGCATCAGTGTTCGACGATCTCAAGTCCCGACGAGTTCGCTTTTCCAGAACGCTAACTAATTAAGAAGCAATGCAATTAATTTTCCA